TCCTCTCCAATGCTGAGGCACCTCTGCCTTCAGTGTTGTCCTCTTCCACCAAAGACTCAGACTAATGCAACCAACTGGCCAGCAGATGCCAAGGCAGGTTTGGTCTCAGGAAGGAAGTCGGTCCCAGGGCAAAACCCTCCACCAACCAGGTGACGATGAGCCACAGAGGGACACAGAGCCCAGCACTGGGTTGGTCAGATCCGTCTACTCTCCTCCCAGGGAGAAGGCCTGCTGTGCATGGGTGCAGAGTGTCTCAGACAGCGCTGAGGGGTCTCTTTGTGTCCCCACAGAGGTCACTCAGCGCTTCCAGCTTGTCAGGGCTCAAGCCCCAGCCTCTGTGGGTCGATGATGCACATGATGGTGACCACCTGAGGGAGGTCTTCAGTGTTCCTCTCCAAGTGGTGAGGGTTCCAGGACTTGTCTTCAACACTGGGTGCACAGGATGTGAGCTTGGGCCATGCTGTACCACACCGTCCCCCTGTGTATGCTGTGGCCAGGACTGAGCCCCAGCAGGGTAGGTGTGGCTCTCTGCCATCAGCTCTGGGGTCTGAACTTGGCCTGAAGGGAAAAGCCTGTGAAATCGGAGCCGTCCAGGTGAGCATAGGAGAACCTGGAGACAGGGCTCTGCATACCAGGGACCTGAGCTCAGGGCAGACTGTCCCCACAAACCGAGCCACAGGTGAATCCAGAGCTCATGTCAACACTGGGCTCAGCCGCTCACCCAGCTGTGAGGAGCAGAGGTGGGCATCCATTTGTAGGTCTACTCTGATGAGCTTTCTGGGTTCACTTATATAAGCTATTTAACTTGGGTCATTTATAAATGTTTCGATACACAAACATCAATCGCCTCTCGGCTTTCTGGCTACAGTTTTGTAGTGAACCCAGCCTCTTCCACTAAAACCACTGAAATTAAATTATTTTCCAACATGAGAACTGTAAGGGAAGAGTTCAGCTGCTTTGCTCACCGGGACACTTTGGAGCATTTGCTCCTCATTCTTCCCGATCCCTCACTAGTGAATTACCTACGTGCTAAAGGTTATTTGCACCTCAGTTAATAGCAGCTCTGCTGTGGCCTTGCCTGTGTGGTGGACATCCATGGCCCCTGAGGTGCACTGTCAGTGGCAGCCAGCAGGGGGTGCTCTGCCTGTTGTGCCAGCACACACTGAGGGCGCGCCCTGCTCAAGGCTGGTGAGCGCCTGGGTTTGCACTTTTGTGCATTTGATGGGGACTTCGAAGTTCCTCGTGACCCCAGGCGCACTGCTGTGGCTTGGCCTCAGCCCAAGAAGGCCGAAGCGTCCAAAGGGAAACGCATTACAGACGCTTCCTTCAGGATGAGCTGAGGCCCTGGGATTCGAGTTCAGTGCTGAGGATCCCTCAAGATGGGCTGCACAGGGTCTAGAACTCACGGGCACTGAGGGAGGCCAGCAGAGTGGCTGTCGCTTCTCATGCAGGGACATGCAGAGAACTGCCAGGCAGTGGGATGGATAGTGGGGAGGAAGAACCTCTGCCACCATGAACCAATGGGCCATCAAGAAGAAAGCCTCAGGGCACAGATGCCAACTCAGTTTTGGTCAGGCTGGGCTGAGGACGTGGGACTCCAGGCAGACAGGTCAGCGTCAGTGGCCCTTGGGTAACTTCAGGGGAGGTGGGGGTCCGGGAGAGGCCCCTGCAGGAGTCATTGGAGGGTTGTGTCCTACAGAGCAGAGGAGCCAGCCAGGGACCTGTCATCCTTAGCTGGGCTCCCTGACCAGCACCCTCCTTGTCTCAGTCAGGCGGCAGCCCTGATGTCATCACAGAACAAGGAGATGCAGCCTAGTTCTCTGCTTGCAACACACAAATGTAGAGACCTGATGAATACTGGAAAAAGTTATACACTTTATTTGCATGATAATTTGCAATCGAATCTGATGGCTTAGAACAGACACACAAAGTTGTCCTGAAACCAGGACAAGCACTGGGGAGGGAGCATGTTTTCCCACAGCAGGGCACTTGCATGCATCTGGCCTGGGAGCAGGTGTCTCACAGGATGCATATATGGAAGGTCCCTGGGTGCTGCTCCCACAGAGGACACACTTGGGAGTATCCTGTGCATGGGTTGGGGAGCCCTGCCCTGCCCAGCCTACACCATCCATTGCCCTCTGGAGAGCCATGCCACACCACAGGGGAGGCACTCACACTTCACACTTGGTATTGGCTGTGTGAAGCCCCTGCAGTGGAAACCCAGGGCAGAAGGAGACCCTGGTCTCCTTCTCTGGTCTTTGTCACTATCTTGGGGGCTTTTCTTCTGCCCATTGACAGAACCTTAAGTTAATAGCCAGTCATTGGGTAAAAGAATGTCAGGTGTGCTGCGTTTCACCCACTCTACACAGGCAACTGCAGGTTCAAAGATCAGATGCAGGTGAACACAGCAGACACATCAAAAGCCAGGGTTCCAGGAGCCCCGAGGTAGTAAGAGGAGAAACGCCACCCAGAACCAGGATGTCTGGGCCCGTCCATCCATGAGTCCCTGTGCACCTTGACCTCTACATGATGTGCCAAAGACGGTTTGCCAGGTACCCAGCTCTACCTGCTGCCAGGGTCAAGGGCGAGTGCAGCCTCAGAGGGACTGAGAGGAGGATGGGAAGAGGATGGGAGAAGGCTGGGAGCCAGGCTAGTGCTCCCATGACAGCCCAGCCAAGTGGCAGGGAGACATACACCACGATGGTCAAGATAAGCACACCTGCACCTGCTTCCTGCTCTGAGGGCAATGCCTAGGCTCTCAGCCCCAAGAGAGCAAGAAAAAGGCTTCTATTGCCTCTAGAAGTCATCATTGTGTCACCACCCCAAAAGCACTGGGCCCTCTATTTCCAGCCAGTGTCCATCTGAGGCGCTAAGAAGGCACTGAAGCCCCAGCTTCATGGGGAGAACTTGCCATAGGCTGCCCAGGTGTCCCTCCCCTCTTGGTGGCCCTCCAAGTCCTTAGTCCTTGGCTGGCCTCCTCCCTCCCTCTCAGACAGTCCAGACACTCAGAGGTCATAGTCTCTGCTCATGAAAAAGGAATGGCTCAGAAGGAAGACCCAGCAGGACATCCCTGCACTTAACCCCCAGAAGGGCCAGGTCACTCCTTGTAGACAAGGGGCCAGGGAGAGCAGCCTGGAGCTGGGAGCCCTGCAGCTTGCACAGGACAGAGGGCAGTGCAGTCAGACACGTCAATATTTAATAAAACTGAAAGGACCTTTGAATCATCTCAAAAGGAATTGTGCACAAAGGTTTAAAAATCAGTGCTGTCATTTTCTTGTGGAATGACTTCGAGGTCAGGGTCAAAGGTCAGGTGGATCAGCTGTTCGCCTGTTCAAACAGGAAAGAAACGAAGTTACTCTCTAAAGACAAACAGGTAGAAAATGAGTGTCCCTAGGTCAGAGCGAGGGATGGGTGACCCAGCATGGGAGCTGCCCAGCACACAGGCCAGTTCCTTCTTCAGCGAGGAGTAGAGTCATGGCTGCAGATGGGCGAGCAGCATGCAAGGCTGAGGAGGAACAGTTGGATGGGGCCGACCTCAGCACAGCTGGGCAAGAGCCTCCACCTGGGGGCCACATGTGACCAAATACCACTAACCACCTCAGGAAGTCATTGGTGGGCTCCTTGCTTCCTACCACTGCATCCCCTGCCATTCACGGCTCTCTTGAGCACTGGGACGTCCACAGGCCTGTGCACCTGCTGGACCATTGACTCCCTCCATGCTGGCCCAGCCCCTGGCTTCCTCTACCTCACAGGCCTCAGGATGGCTGTGTGCATCTGTTTCCAGCCCTCTGCCTTTGCCAGGTGTGAGGCTAGCCCCCATGGTGAACTGACAGCTGTAGGCACAGGTGTCATTTGAGGGGACACAGATTGGGCCTGGAGACAATGCCTCTGGTCCTGGCCGGGTCCCCCTTCAACAGATGTGAGATATGAGAGGAAATGGAGTGAGTTCTTTCACTAGCACCTGTCCTGTCGGGGGTCAGAGTTGAGCACCCTGTGGGTCTGAGCCCCTGAGTTCTTGTCCCAAAGCCCACAGCACAGCCAATAGATTGGGTAAGGGGGAGAATGGGGGCAGGGTCACAGGTCCCCTGGCTCCTTCCTCTCTATGTAACTTCCTGTACCAGAGTCTAGGGCCCAAGATCTCCAGCTGCTTTTCTACCTCCTGAGCCTGGGGGCTTCCTAGCATCCCCTTGAGAGCGCCCATGAGGAGGGTCTCTGGCAACTTCTCCATGTGAGCTCTGCCCCTGGCCAAGTATGCTGGGTGGTGAGGCCAGGTGGGTACAGAACAACTGGGTTGTGCTAGTATGGTGAGCAGAGCCCAAAGGAGGGGCCTGCAGGAAGCCCAGTTCAGCCACCAGTGGGCACTGTGCAGGGTGATGGTCACCCTGGGCGCACTGGAGGAGTTGGGGCCACTGGAGAGGTCAGAGCCACCAGAGGAGAAGGTGGTGTTATGGTTTGGTATGAAGGCTCGTGTGCTGAAGGCATGGTCCCCAGCTGTGGAGCTAATCATGGAGAGACTGAGTGGGCTGTGAGGACTCCGACCTCATCAATGGGTTAATCCATTGACAGATTCAGTACTTTGATCGCATCACTGGAAGGTAGTAGAGGGGTGTAGCTAGAGGAAGAGGTCACTAGGAGCATGCCTTTCAAGGGAGTATCTTGTCAATGGCCTCTTCCTCTCTCAGGCTCTCTGCATCCTGGCCACCATGAGGTGACCACTCTCCCTACCAAATGGTCCTGCTGTCATGCATTCCGACTTACCTTGGACCCAAAGCAATGGAGCCAGATGACCATGGACTGAAAGCATGAGCCACAATAAACCTTTCCTCCTTTTTTAAGTTGATTTGCTCAGATATTTTTTTGTCAAATCAACGAAAACCTAACTAACACAATGGGCAGGGTGCTGGTGGATACCAGAGGGAAGAGGGGCTCTAGACAGGTCGGGGGGCACAGAGGAAGGGGAGGTCTCCAGGGCTGGGCAGTTCATGTAGTAGCAGCTTTGATCATGAGGTCAGGTTTGTTCGGTCCATCAGGCAGTGGGCATCAGCTTTCTGAGGAGCTGCCCTTGGAGATGCCTAGATTTGGATCAAGGAGTCTGAGAAATCAGTCAGAAGGAGGACAGGCAAATTACCCTCATTTGTTGATAGATCCAGTCAGTAAACATTGTCACGTTCCCGTACACTCCAGGTCGGTAGGCCTTGGCACAGCCAGCTCCCCAGCTTGTATCCCCAATCAGCCACCAGATGCCATTCTTCAATGTGACCAGCGGCCCTCCACTGTCACCCTGGGAGACACAGCAAGGTATCAAGAACAGAAAGGCAAGTTACAACCCGCAACCCACCATGGACCATGCAGATAGTGTGGGTTCTCCACGAGAGGCGGTGAGGGCCACATGCAACCCCAACTTCAGGAAGCAATGGCTGTGGACATAATCCCCCAAAGAGACTACCCCATGATAAGTTTAGTTTGTACAGTCAACAGTTACTACACAGATTGCTGTCCCTAGTCTACAGTAGACTGGTTCACGGTCACCGGTCTCAAACAAAAGCTTTGCCAAGGCAGTCATGGTGGGTGAACATGTTGGCAGTGCTTCCTCACAGCCAAGGAAGCTGTCACATTGTCAGCAGCCTTCATACCCATGGCTGCTCCTGCACTGACTCCACGTCCCCAGGAGGCATCACTGACCCCGTGGAGTCCCATCTCTCAAGAGTTCTGCAGAAAGTGGCAAACTCCTGAGGTCAAATAAAACTTGCAAGTACCTGGCAGGAGTCGACGGTCCCCTCTAAGTATCCTGCACAGATCATGGATGATGTAACCAGGTTGTTGTAGATGTATTTATTGTTACACACCGAGGACTCGATTAGGGGCACAGTGGCGGCATTCAGTACATCCGAGGTCTTCCCTAAAGACAGGGGGCATCGGCCAGTAGCTCTCAGAGGAAGAATGGACACCTCTCCCCGAGACCACCATATGTATTTGTAGATAGCTACTCCTTTTCCCCTCTTCCCTCTCCCCATCCATCCCAAAACCGAGCCCTCTCCCAGTGTGCTAGACAGGGCCAATATGATATTTCCCACTAAGCAAATAGGGAAACCAAGGCACAAAAATACCTAGCACGTAGCCATTGAATAACAGAACCAGGATTCCAACTTGGACCTCCCATTTCTGAACCCAGTGCCCTGTCCACATGCTCTGCTGAAGTGTACCCCAAAGCCTCACCTTTCTCATATGTGGCCCCCCATCCGAAATCCAGCACTGCTGTTTGGGCTCTAGCATCATACCAGGGTTGGGCAGACACACTGGCTTCACATTTTCTGTTTCAAGAAGAGAACAGCATGAGCAGTGTGATCTAGTGAAGGCCTCTGGCAATGGTCTCTCCTGGCCTGCCCATGTGGGCTTTGCTGCATGGGTCCCACCGTCCTCTGCCCAGAAAATCCGATTCTCATGTGCCCTGGCATTCTTGATTCTGCCTGGCAAGGTCCACTTTCAACATCACCTCTGGACATTGTGCTTCTAAAACACACAATGAATGCTTCCAGGTGACAGAGGGTGGAAAGGACCCAAAATGGCGATGGCTGAGAAGCCAACAGCTCCCATGTCTCATGGATTGGCACCTCTGTGTGCAGTCAGATCCCAGTGTCAATACAAGCATGTCACAGGGAGGGATGAGGCTCTCCTTCATCTGTGCCCACACAGGGATAGAACAGAGAGTAGAGCAGGGGCCAAATAAGAAGCAAAGGGAAAGTGGCTTTGTTTAAATTATGATTTGCACGTATGTGAACGTACACAGCTCGGGATGGACGTGAAGCCATACAGTTCTCTTCTCCAATTACCGTGTCGAGACTTCACCTACAGCCTCAACATTTTCTGGAGATATCTTTGATGGTCACAACTTGGAGGCACTACTGACCTCTAGTGGACAGAGGACACTGAATGTCCTACCAGGCATAGGACAGCCTGGCCCCCATGTCCCTAAGTACCAGGGTTGAGAGCCCTGCTCCTGATTGTTACATGGAGTAATGGAATCATCATTCTACACAGCAGAGAACAAACGTGGGCCACTGCTGCCCCTCCACACCCACGGCACACGTGGCTGTGCTGAGCCCTTTCTGGAAGCCACCTCTGCCTATTTTCTCCTCCAGATCTCATCTCTGACCTCCCCTCCTCCTGACTTGGTCTACCACTGCACCTCTGAGCCACACATACCATTAAAAGTTAGAGATGTCTGCAACTTCATAAGAGCAATGTCGTTGTTCTTGGTCTTGGAATCGTAATTTGGATGGGAAATCACTTTCTGTACTGGGTACCCGACGTCAGAGAGCATGTCAGACTGTTTCAGAATGCCTGCAAATGCCGTCCAGTACCACGCGCGGTTAAGGGGCCTGGAAGATATGGAGGGACAGACAACACACTGTATCTCAGAACCTCAGTCATGAGATGGGATTCAAGGACCGCCAGCTGGGTCACAATAGCTGGCATTAGATGTCTTCCCCAAGCCACAGAGGGACTGTGGAGCGGGGCGCTCTGCTGCTTCCCTCGCACTTCCTTGTAGCCTGCCCCTCCCCGTTCATGGCTTCCCTCAGCCCTCCTCACCCATCTGCATGGGCATGACCAAGACCAAGGGTGTTGAATTGTACACCCTGGCGAGCTCCCACTGGACAGCGTGAGGGCCAAATACATCTGAGTGGGCTGTCTCCTGGGGTGCAGACAAGACCCTGAGAGAACAGGGGCTCCCCAAAATAGTAGAGAGAGCTAGGAAGACAGCAGGCTGGAGGGAACCTGGTTGCAGGGCCATTGCTAAGCAGTTTCCAGCCACACTGTGTGTCCACACCAGGTGTCCCACATGTGCTGAGGGAGTGGACATGGCCACACACTTCACGTCCACTTGGTGCACATTTGGCGCTCCCAGTGGTGCAAGGGTGCAGACACCATTACCGACCCCATCATACCCAAGGACACTGGAGCTTCAAAAGGTTAAAGACCTGGCTGGGTACCAGTGGCTCACCCCTGTCATCCTAGCTACTCAGGAAGCTGAGATCAGGAGGATCATGGTTCAAAGCCAGCCTGGACAAATAATTAATGAAATCCCATCTCCAAAATAACCACAGCAAAATGGACTGAAGGTGTGGCACAGGTGGAAGAGCGCTTGGTTTGCAAGCTTGAAGCTCTGAGTTCAAGCCCCAGTCCCACCCACTGTACCCCCCAAAACTAGTTAAAGACTTGGCTCAGGTCACATGGCAACAGAGCTATATTCTAAACCAGCAGTCTGGCCCTGGAGCCTGTGTTCCCCGCCCCCCAACATGGCCCCAGGCCTCCTGGGACACGGACGTACTCTTCCACACAGTGTGCAGCCGTCACGATCCACTTGGGGGTGATGATGGAGCCTCCGCAGACATGGACACCCTGGACGTGCAGGCTGACCTGCCAGGGCCAGTCCCGCAGGTCAGCATTCAATCCACCCACGATCCTGCTCTGGCGACTTGGCAAGGGGGCCCCGCACTCTGAGGGTGACAAGTACATGTCAACTGGCAGTGAGTTGAGTAGGAGCCCCCTGGGCCACCTGCCACCCACTGCAGTGGGCACCCACACAGTCGGCTTCCTGAGGGTCTCACCAGACCAGGGCAGATGGCACATGACCACTGCTGCATCTCATGGCCTACTGTTGGGGGGTCTGAACAAGGAAGCTCATCCTGCTCCCCTTTGGGTAGGAGGAGAAGCGGGGGCACCTCCAGCCCCGCAGGAGGCCCCAGGCTGCAGCACCTGAGCACCTCCCACTGGAGGCTTGAGAGATTTCACTGGAGGCTCTCCATGCCGGGGGCGGGGTAGTCCTGTAGGAAGGCCTCTGGGGTGTACACTCAGGCCCTAAGACTCTTGGACAAAGGAAATGAATGTCGGCAGGGCTGGGAGAGAGTGAATGAGAAGGTAAGTAAGAAGGTGAGTAAGGAGATGAGTGAGGAGGTGAGTGAGGTAAATGAGAAAGTGAGGTAGGAGGTGAGTGAGATGAGTGAGGGGTGAGTGAAGTAAGTGAGGTGAATGAGGTGGTAAGTGAGGCAAGTGAGGAGTGAGTGAGATGAGTGAGGAGGTGTGTGAGGTGAATTGAGGAGGTGAGTGAGGGGAGCAGGGTAAGGAGGTGAGTGAGGAGGTGTGTCACAGTCCTGCCAGGGACATTTCTGGGAACACCTCAAGTCCACACGCAGCAGCTCCCGGGGCTTGCTAGCCTGCCCTTCACTTCCTGAGGACTCCCCACTCCATCCCCCAGCACTCAGGTGGCACCAGAAATTGGGTCTGCCAGTGTGCTAAGCTCGCCTGTCCTCAGTGGGAGGCTAAGTTCCAAAATGGAGATCTTTGTCTGAAGCAAGAGGCCAGCGGGCACATCCCAGCTTGTCCCATGTCCTTCCCTCACTATGTCCCCAAAGACCCCGGGGAACATGTTTCTAAAGCTATGGAATGTCTCCATCGGAAATGTCAAAGCAAACATCAGGAAGCACTTACCTATACAGCGTAAGGAGACCACCAGGTGTGAGGAGCAGGTGTCACTGAAAAAGAGAACGCCAGACGCCAGCTCTCACTTAGACTGGAGTGTCTTCTCTCAATAGTCCCTCTCCTGTCCCCCAGGATAAAAGGACCCACTACTAAAGATGCTAGTAAGGTGACTAAACCTAAACAGGGGACAGTGCAAAAGAGCAGGCACTGAGTCACAGTACCAGGTTCAAATCCCAGCTGTGTGACCTTGAGCAAGTTACTTAACCTCTGTTCCTTGCATTCTTACTCTGAAATCCCAAATCTGAAGTGCTACAAAATCCCAAACCTTGAATATCTACATGGTGACATGAGAGGAAAATTCCACATCTGACCTCATGTAAAGGGTCACAATGAAAATGTGGGTGCACTAGCAATATTGTCTAAAATGAGCTCCAGGCTTTGTGCAGAAGGTGTACGTAACTTATCCGATAGTCATTTTCTCTGAATTCTTGCTGATTTTGATCTTCCAATTCTTGCTGAAGACATTCCATGAATTGGGGGAGGGAGTGATAAAGAATGACGGAGGGGATGAATTCAAGGATGATATATTTGTTATATTGTAAAAACTTTTATGGATGCCATAATGTACCCCCACTCAGCACAACAATAAAAAAGCATGCTTAAATTCTTTCATCCTTAAAAACACAATTGAGAGTTACAAGAAGTGAAAACTGAAAGGGTATTAATATGACACCACAGTAATTAAAACAGTTTAGGCAGACAGAGGTAAAGACAGAAAGACCAGGGTAAAGAGTAGAGCACTCAAGACAGTATATTAAGAATTTAATAAATTACAAGAGTAACAATTTGATTAAGGGAATGAGAAATTTATAAAGCATAACAAAATTGGTCATATTTATGGAAGAAACCAAACATGAACCTATACTTGATACCCTATATAAATTTTAGATGGAATGCACAATTTTTAAATATAAGATACATTTATGAAGTTAATATAAGCATTCTAATAACATTTGAAGAATTTTATAGCTTTAAATAAGTAAGATCTTTCTAAACAAAGCAAGAAACTTTCATTTATAAGACCAGCAGGAGAGGAAGTTGGAATAACAGGAAGAACAAGGTCGTGGAGCAGTTGCCATGTCGTAAGAAGTTCATTTTCCTTTAATTTACAGCAAAAGAAAAAACAGGGACAGCAGAGCTATTTAAAAATAATGTCCACATTATTTTTGTTTTCACAATTGAATGCTCAGCCTGATAACATGCATTAATATCATATCAGCATAAAAGACATGGATTTTAATATGTAGCATAGAAACACTACTGAGCAAATTAGAGGAAGGCAGCTATAAACATCCAACTGCAATTTAAACAGCCTCATACTGTAACTTCAGAGAGTGCAAATGATATGTTCCCATCTCATTTTAGAAACCAAAAGTGCGTTATATTAAAGCTCAGTCTGTATTATGAGCTGGGAGTTATAAACTTCAACACAATTCAGGAAATGTGTAAATTCATTGAATTCTTTATTTTGATTATTGTGACTGAAACATTAAACTACCTTGCATGAGATGGACAGGGTAACATGTCCATACCTGAATTGTAGTACTATTCACTGGACTCAGTGTCAGTATGTAACATGCCCATAGCTCTCTCTGCCTATGCTGTCTTATTTGTATGTTTTTATTAACTATCATTTAACATATTAGATAAAACCTATATAAACCATAAAATGTGGGGGCAACCACCATTCATCTTCTACTAGTGCTGTAGAAATATTTATTAATATAAAGCAAGTTTCTGTGTTTCTTGAAAATTAAATATAAGTTAAATTCAAAAAAATAAAAAATAAAATAAAATAAAATGAGCTCCAGGCTTTGTGCAGAAGGTGTACGTGAAACACAGATGCAGCCTCAACACATGTCAAGTCAATTATTAAAACGTCCAAAGTCTAAAACACTTCCAGTGGTGATCAAGCTGAGGTCCCCCTCACAGAGAGGCTGTGAAGGTAAGCGTGCATTTATTTTACCCTTGGAATTTAAAACCACCCTTGAAGCTGGGCTTTGTGATGCATGCCTATAATCCCAGCACTAAAACTGGAGGATGAGGCACAGGAGGATTGTGAGTTCAAGGACAGCCTAGGCTATACAGTGAGACAGCTGTCTCAAACCACCCCTCACCCCTCAAAAATTTCTCCACTAACGTGAGGAAGTGGTTTGGTCTCACGTGATGGTTTTCTATCCATCCGTGGAAGACAGGTTCACTGACACTTTGCCTGGGAGGCAACACTGGTGTTCATTTCATCCTGGTTATGGATGAAAAGGATAATAATTGGAGCATTCCGTCCCAAGAGCTCCCTCCCATACACTGAGGGGGAGACAGTCCCTGCATCCAGAGCCTGCCTGGCACTGACCGCTGGCCCTGTGATTTGCTGACAGAAGCAATTTTTTCAAGCACCAATGTCACACTAGACCAGAAGCCACAAACGCATAAGCCTGCCCCCCAGTCACATAGGGGCACACTGACCGAGACCTTATCCAAACCACAAAATAAGGAGCCACCGTGCCCAGCGTGGCTGGTGCATCTGCCACCTTTAGCGTGGCTTCATCTCAACCACCATGTAGAACAAAATCCTAAATCAGCCAATCACAGAATCCCTCACTCCTGGAAGTGCCCAACCAGAGCCTCCTCACATCACCCAACACAAGCTCAGGTGCAACCAGAAGTCCTTCCCAGCACCCTCCTCCTTCAGTGTCCCAGCCTGGAGTCCTGGTGACCACTAAGGCCAAGCAAAAGTGTGCTTCCACCGAAAGGGGGCACCTTCTGAGGCTAGTAGAGATATGGCTATGCAACAGAAAGCCACAGCACCTGGGAACTCACAGCAGTACAGGAGAGCCTGGTGAGGGGCTGTGCCGACAAACCTAAGCAGCTGTGACAGTCTAGACAATGACCTCTTCTTCCCTCCAAAGCCGCAGGCCACCTTGGGTTGCCCAAGACCCCTCCCCTTCCTGCCTGGTCCCTTTCTGTGATTTGTCTCAGCTCCCTGAGCTCCAAAGAACTACTCAGCAGTTCCAAAGAGCCCAGGCAGCCGTCCGAATGGGACACCTGGCCCAGCACTGACCACTGGCAGAGAAGAGCAATGGTTCTGCAAACATTTTAAACATATGCAAATAAGAGGGGTAGCCAGAGTCCCTCCCTACCCTCCTACCAGTTCAGCCATCAGTCACGAGACCTGTGGCTTGAATTCATGTCCAACCACTGGACGCACTGTGACCTGCCCAGCTCATAAGTCAACTTCAAGGCACAGGAAGCATTTGCTGAACTGAACTAGCCAGACGCACCCAGAACACTGTCCCACTCCTCAGCATCCTCTGATTCTGCTGATCACGGGTTGTGCCAATTGTCCTGTTGTCTGGGGTCAGTCCCTGAGAAGCAGGGCTGTCCGTGCTGGGACCCACAGGCCCTGGGCAAATGGAATGAACTGGTCACCCCAGCAAGAGCCCCGAGATAGTCTCTTGGGTCCCAATGCCACACTGCTGTGGTCTGAATATAGCTTGTCACTCCAAACCCATGCCAGGGTTTAATTCCCAAAGACATATTAATGGAATTAAGAGGATAAAAACTAAATTTTAAAGATTGGGCCTTTGGGAAGTGATTAGATTGGGTCATTAGGGTGGAATCTTGGTGACTGAGCATCTGGTGGCTTCATAAGGAGGGGGAGAGACACCACACAGGACATTGTGTGACTGCCATGCTGTGACATGGCCCAGGAGCCCTTGCCAGAGTCTGTGCTAGACTGTTTGGATCTTCTATCTTCAGAACCATAAGCCAAAATAAACCTCTTTTCTTCATAAAGTAGCCTGCCTCATGCATTTTGTTATGGTAATGAAAAGCTGAGTAACTCCTACATCTAGCACAGTAGCTATATCTCCCAGTATCTGGAAAAATGAAAAAAAAGAAAACCCAAATATAATTTTGCAATGCTATCAGTTGCCAACAAGCAGCCAGATAAGCAAGGTTGCAATCAAAATGGTAAATAAACCTCAGCCTCTTCTTATGAATAAGCCTGAAACTGTTTTCTGACTAGTCAAATGTCCTGTCAGCACTAAACTCATGCAAACCCAGAATGCAGCTTGGAGAGGCCGCCTCAGGAGGTAAGGCCTGTGGGGTCCCCTGGCTCCCCTTACCAAATCCTGCAAAGGAAAAAGAAATTGCTGAATACCTGTGGTAGAGCTTTTTGTAGAGGTCGGTGTTGCCCGCACTGAGGTTTAGTTTCATAAAGCTGGTGGCCCCGCTGCTATCCTCTACTTCTTGGCTAGAATAAAAACTGTCCCTAAAAAAAAAGACAGGAAATCTTACTTAAAATAATGGCTAAGACGTAAGCGTTCATAAATCCCATGCTAAGTCATAAAAGCTCTCTTTGATGACTCTAGGATTAAAAGGCATTCATTATCTTAGCATTTTGCAAAATGAACCCCAAGTTCTAACAAGGCAATGCTGTATTATAACCACTGCTCAAGCCAGTCACCTTGAGGCGTGAGGTGAAAGTCCCCCCATTGGTCTAATCTTGCATCAGTTAGGACAGAGACTCAGATAAGGCTGCATGAATACATTTAATTTGATAAGAATGCACAGATGTTAAAATATCCCAGGTATAAAATTCCAGCAGGTTCCTGAGCTGTGACAGAATGTCGCTGAGTCGTTCAACTGTGCAGCTAATGGGTATCACAGTAGCTAAGACACCAATTTGCTCACCTAGAGGTAATTCACCTTGAAAACTGGCAAATAAAATACCCCAATACTGCAAAGACTCACGCGGGGCACGCCATGGGAGAGAGAGCGGCAATAAAATAACGTGATCTTTCAACCTACACCTGGGGCTGCCCCATCTTCTGAGGGGTCACAGTTCAGATGTGGTTTTTTCTCCTAAAAACTCGTTGACCCCTGCTCTCCAATTTAACAGTTTAAGAGGCCATAATAACTCTCCCATCCTGAGATGAAGCTGCATGAGGTCCTCCCCAGATGCCAGCACCATGCTCCTAGACTTCCCAGCCTTCAGAACTGTCAACCCAAATAAACCTCTATTCATTACAAATGATGCAGACTCAGGTGATATGCTACCGTACCAGAAAACAAACCAAAACTCTGGGACGGTTCTGCAGAGCCCCTGGCTAGGAATCGCTTGTGGCGTCACTCCCTCCTAACCCTTCCACTTCCTCTGGTCACTAGGTGCAGAGGGAGCGCACCTTGTACTTCCACATATATTAATGGAGCAAAGGCTCAGCCTGGGCTGAGAGGCTCCTGGCACAGAGTCGCCCTCAGCCCTCGGCCTGCACCTCTGCCCTGGGACACTCTCTCTACTTGCGGCACCAAGTGGCCATTCCCAAGTAACGAGGGAAGGCGCAGGGCAGGGTGACCACGAGCCCCATTCGTTAGCCATGGGGAAGAGTGCAGAGTCCATCCGTTGGGCAAATCTCTGGAGGCCCAGGTCTACCTGTGCTTTCAAGGATCAGCTTTCAGAGGTGACAGTGTCACCAGCATCCGGGGAGGCAGAGAGACGATCCTTCCTAAACTTTGCTGTCTATTACTGTCATGATGACGGCGCTGGCCCCTCCCGAGGGTGTCACACTCACTTATAGCCCATGTCCTGGCATGCTGCCCTTGCGTAGTCCTGGTTCCAGTTGTCTTGGCACACGGGGTACCAGGACTTCCTCTGGGATGAGTACACCTGAAGGATGAAGTCAGGTCCGTAGAGGCGAACTGCGTGACAAGTGAGAGTCTCAGTGAGACCATGGTATCATCCCACTGCTACCTGAGCCGCACACTACCCCTGGACACCAGGGCTCCAGAGGTGGCCACACAGGCCCTGACCACAAACAAAGAGAAGCCACGAAGCTACTGGTTCCTTACTAAAAAGCGCTCTTTATGCAAAAGAACCGAAAGTGGGTATTCAGACAAATTTGTACAAATTTCATGGCCAGCAGAAACAGCCAGAAAGTGGAAGCAGCCAGCCCACGTGGCCACCACGGGTGAAAATAAAGCAGATCCAACAAGACAATGGCACCTGACTCACACACACAGGGGTGGACCCTGGGGACAACGCTGAGTGGAAGAAGCCAGGCACAAGGAGCCCCACATGGCACGATTCCAGGCCTGTGAAAGGCTCGGGCTAGTGATTGTTTGTCTGCTGATACATAAAAACTATGGAATCATACACTCGCCACCCAAGAATGGATCTTATGTGGATGAATTACACCTCAAGAAAGCTGCTTTTAAGAACGAGTAAGATACAGGGTAAAAATAAAGCACTCTTGAAGCACTCACTTCCATCCAAATCTCAGACGCTGCCACCAAAGGGACTAAATGGTTGCCATGTTAATCGGCATTTTGCCAAAATGATCGACCCTCTAAGGAAACACAACATTTAAGTCTAGTGAAGCCCCTCCCTGTCCACTCCCTCTCCCTCTCCCTCTCCCTGGGGGCACCCACGACCCAGAAGTCTGAGAATGAGTCATTGGGAGCAATCTATCTATGTGGCACACACCCAGAGCGAAGCCTCCATAACTGGGGGATTTCCTGGTGGTTCCTGAATTAACAGCAACAATCAAAAGACAGCACTGCGTAAAAGACAGCAAGTCACAAAATGACTGGTACAGCTTGACAGCGTATAAAAAGTGCTAAGTGGCAGGAGTGAGGTCGGGGGGATGAGTGAGGTCAAAGTGTAAAATGGGGACCCGGTCACCTCAGCCTCACTTCTCACCTCCATCTGGCCCTGACTTATTGGACCCCAGCAAATGACCACACTGGGGTCTGACTGTCTTGTCACTTCAGCACTCAGGGACCCCATGGCCACGTGTTAGGTGGATGGATAAAGAAACTGGTTTAGCTGGACACTGGGATATGACTCAATGCTGAAAAGAAGTCACAAAAAGACACAGTGGCACCTGAACGCACAACGCAAAGTGAAAGAAGCCAATCTGGAAAGGCTACACGCAACGGGATCCAACCGTGAACACTCTGGAAAAGGCAAAGCGACTGAGGCAGTAAGGGGCAAGTGCCCCCGGGGTCCTGCAGGGAACACGGGGTTTCAGGAAGCCCACTCTGGACCGTAAGACAGTGGCACATATGCCACATTCTGCCATTGCCAGAGCCCACAAATCTGTCCCACGGGAAGAGGGACTCTGTCACCAGCAGGGCTTCTGTCGATAGCTGTGTTTCCCACTGGTTCTTCATGTGTAAGGAACAGCCGCGACAGCAAGACATCAGTAACAGGCACCAGCGAGGGCCGGCCGGGCTGGACGGGCTCTCCCCACCCTTCTGATTGGTTTTCTGTAAACCTAACACTGCCGTAAAAAGTAGAGTTGTCTTACCTTTTTTTAAGTAACTGAAACTAGATATACTTCCATAGTTTAAAACAAAACCACCTGTGGCGTGAGAGGCAGAGAGACGTCTCAGACCTGGCCTGTGGATGTTAGCGGGTGGCATTTTCCCTCCGCCCGGTCCCGGGAAGATGAGCGGGTGCTCAGAGAGCTGCAAACTCCACAGTAGGCCTTTTCCTTCCCTTTTCAAGTTCTTAGTTGTTTTTTTTTAGCCTTATGGAGGTCCAAGTGACAAGTACAAATTGTGTCTGTGAGGTACATGACGTGATGACTTGGTCACATCCATCATGACACAGTCATCACTATGAACAAGTAACACGACTGTCGCCTTTTCTTTTTTCCTCCTTTTTTTTGTGGTGAGAACACTTAAGATCAGCTCTCTTAAAAATTTCAAGTGTACAGTCCAGGATGTGAACTGCTGTTGCCTCTTGTAGCTCTTTGGTTTCTCTGCTGATGTTTCCAGAAAGACTCACAGGAAGGACAGCAACAGGAACTGAGCTAACATTAACACACACACAGACTCAGACTTACACACACTCGTTCACACTCGCTCGCCCACACTCACATCCATATACTCACACAGTCGTCCACACTCACACTCACACACCAGCCTTGAAAAGAAAGCTGCATGCACGTTCGTGAGTATTTTCTGTGGGACAGATGACGTTCTCTGACGTCTCTTCGAGGACGACAAGTCAACAGCAGTCCACAGTCCTGTTCTGGTCTAACACAGGCCACACAGTGTCACGTCCCCCTGTTCCCTTCCATGTGAAACGCCACGTGGAAACGGATAAGCCCAGATTGGACGGGGACTATCAAATGACAAACACGCAGCCGCTGACCCAGCACTGTGACTTCAGGATGCATCCCAACTCGAGTTTCTGCATGTTCAGCATGAGGTGCAAAGAGCTTGTGTCCACCAGAAGAGACTGGTGACAATGGCGCACCAGACACAGGACAAAGCACAGTGTGGCAAGGGAAGGAGCTCTGTCCCCAAGGAGGCGAGAGAGCGAGCTCATAGCCGCTGCCCAGAAAAGAAAGGAGATGTGACTGCTGGGGAGCAGGAAATGCGTGTGGAGCGCGTGGATCAGCAGAATGGGAGATGAGATTTTTCCATGCCAGGTCACTAACTGTAAAAATATTTAACTAGATGTGACTTGAATATGAGGAAGAGACAGACCCCCAAGTGCCATGAAGTGTTGGTTAAAACGCTCAGTGGCCAGGCACACTGGTGCACCTGTAATCCCAGGGCTCAGGAGACCGAGGCAGAAGGAACATGAGTTCAAGGTCAGCCTCAGCAACTTAGTGAGACAGCCTCAAAAAAGAGGGAGCGGATAGCTCAGTGGTAGAGGGCTCGCCTCGCACGTGTGAGGCCCTGGGCTCGCAGCACCGCAACTGACGAACACACAAAACTCTTGCTGGAGTTCATTCATCACAGGCACGAGCAGGAAAACACCCAAGGCTGCCCACGTGGTATTGAACCACAGCCACTCAACCCCAGACTCTCCGTCCTTTATGCAGGAAAACAGAGTCAAAACATTACCACCCCAAGAAAGGAAAAGAGTGATGCTGAAACTTCAAGCAAGTCATCCCCCAGGGGACCCTTCTGCCAGGGACAGAGGGGACATTGTCAGATGGACAGCATTGTCCACTGATGGTGGGCACTCTGGGCCAGTCTTCCTCACTAGAAAATGCTACGCGTCAGGACAGGGGACACCTCGTACACAGCGGCCGGGACCTGCAGGTGAGGACACGACACGGAAGTGGTCCTCACTGAGAACGGCCTCTTTCCTAGCACCCTCAGCCAGCGTGGAGGTTTGTGGTTTCTATCCAAAATCTCAAGGGGATTGGAGCAAAAAAAAGCCACTGAGAGATTCCAGGACACATTTCTAAAATTTTCATTTAAAAGGGTTCCAGGTAAGCACATTGGCACAAGATGGGAGAGCACACTGTGCCAGGGCTGGCCCACCAGCTGGGATAGAGACGAGCTGGGGGGTGGGGGGGACAGATGGGCAGCTTTTCTGGGGCACTGTGTCAGCTTGCTGCCACCTGCAGAGCCCAAGGAAATGCAGGGACTGTAGCCTGTGCTTTTGTCCCCCCAAGCCACTGCTCAACACAGCAGCAGCCTCACCTGCAGTGCACGCAGGGAGAGACCCCAGGGTGGACCTGAGCAAGGGCATGGTTAGCACAGCTCTCACACTCAGGTGTCATTTTCCTGTTGCACTCACCTTAATGCCCTTGAAGTCACCTTCAAAGATTAATGGAAAAGAGAGAAGTGCAAATTAAAACCACAATGAGGTATCACCTCACTCCTGCTCGACTATAATTTTTTAAAAAGGACAAAGGATAATAAGTGCTAAAGATGCAGAGGAAAGAGGCCCTACCACTGTTGGTAAGGAATGTAAATTGTGCAGCTCTTATGGAAAACAGTGTGCAGGGGCCTCAAAAAACTAAAAATAGAACCATCATATGATCCAGCAAAGAAATGAAATCTCAGGATATCGAAGAAACATCTTCGTCCTTATGTTCATTGTGGCACTGTTCGCAACAGCCAAGATTTAGAATCAATCTGAGAATCCACTGACTGATGAATGGATAAAGAGAATGTGGTATGTGTACACAATGGAATATTATTCGGCCGTAAAAAGGATGAAATCCTGCCTCGTGAGACAATATGGATGAACCCGGAGGTAATTATGGTAAGTGAAATAAGCCAGGCACAGAAAGACAAACGCCACATGTCCTCACATGTCATACTAAATCTGAAAGTCTTCCTCACAGCAGAGAGAGTGGTAGTGACCAGAGGTAACAGAGCGGGTGCGTGCCTAAGGAGTTGTTGGTCACAAAATGTCAGCTGGACAGACAGGAAGACAGAGTTTAAGAAATCTGTCGTGTGGCACAGTGATAAGTGTCAACAGACGGTCTGAGTTCTCGCCACAAGAAGAAAGGTCAGAGCGGAGGGGCGTGTGCTGCACAGATGCACCGCCCCATTCATCAGAAATCGGACACGAGTTTTACTCATCAGTTAGAAATCAATGATTAAAGATAATAAAAGCAAAGGCACATAATACACTGTATCCCCAAGTTTAGCTTTTACACAGCTGGCTTGTTTTAAGTGGTAGTCAGGAGCACGTGTGTTTTAGTGACACAGTCCTTGCTGGCCCTGTCATCGCCCCACCCTGCTGTGTGATGCTGGGCCAGGAACGCAGTCCCTCCAAGCCCAGGCTCGGCCTCCAGGTGGAGATTCCATGAGCAGTGACCTGGCCGGTCACTGTCCTTCACCTCCCCCAGCCACTGCCTCTATGGCAGGACGCAGAGCCCAGCGCTCCAGGCTGAGAGACTGCTTCCCTGGGCCAGGACCCACTTACCACAGCGGTTCTCGTCCTCCCCGTTGGGACAGTCTGACACCCCGTCACACCAGAGAGAGGGGCTGATGCAGATCCCTGAGGAGTCACACGCCATCCCAGACACCAAGCATGTGTTCTCCACTAGCAGGGGAAAGAGGGGACAAGGAGGAGGACCCCATCAGGCTGAGAAACTGAGGGAGTCTCACAGAGCCCCCTTCGTCCTCACTCAAGCCCGAAGAACAGGAGGAAACCCCCACTTCTTTTCTTTTTTGTGCTGGGGTTTGAACTCAGAGCCTATACCTTGAGCCACTCCACCAGCCTTTTTTTGTGATGGGTTTTTTCAGATAGGGTCTTGTGAACTGTTTGCCCGGGCTGACTTCGAACAGCAATCCTCCAGATATCTGCCCCCCGAGTAGCTGGGATTACAGACGTGAGCCACTAATCCCAGCAATCCCCTCTTTCTTTACTAAGGAGATGTCCTTGTCACCCACAAATACACAAGGAATTAGGGCTGGGTGGGGAATTTCCAAGGGGCCAGTGGGAAGCACTCTTGGGTTTGGGTGGCACTCACACCTCCTCTGCCCCCAGGGGACTTTAGGGTCCACACAGCACCCATGTGTCTGCCTCACCCCAGGCTGATGGCAAAAGACACCTGCTGCAGTTAGGGAGATGGCACAGAGAGGGGCCACCTAGCCCACAGTAGCCATGGATGCAGTGAGATGCAGGGACCAGGTATGGCCTCAAGGTGAGTGCTCATGCCACTCACACCCCACATCACTGGGAACATTCTGAACGCTCTTCCCATGGTGCGTTCACACTACAGAAATAACCCGCGGTTTCCATGACCCACAAGCTAGGAAGACGTACGACCCAACGGGGAATGGGCAGGCAAGGCTGGCTGCGGGGAGAATGGAATCCATGCAGTGCCACAAGTAAGAGGGGAGGGGACAGCCTTGCACTGTAACTGTGACCTCAGGAATGGCCTGATGGGGGGGCTGCCCATGGGGCAGGGACACACGTGTGTGCAGTGGCAGTAACCCACGGGATTCCTGCACTCACAGAACTTCCATAGCAGGCCTACCGCCAGTGCAATGCCCGTGAGGATGGCGCCCAGGACGAGGGTGATGCACACTGCTTTCTTAGTTCCTGCAGGAGAAATGAGAGTAAGACGCTGAGGTCAGTGCCACTGAGTACAGATGCCCCTCGACTTATGCTGGAGTCCCAGTAACCCATCGTCCAAGTTGAAAATCCCAAGTCAAAAGAAAAATGCATCCCATACACCTGACCTTCCAACCACATCTACCTTAAATGGGCTCAGGACGCCTGCATCCGCCTGCAGCTGGCCAAAACCACCTGACACCAAGGCTGTTTGTGATAAAGTGCTGAACACCTTGTGAGATTTATGGAATATCGGACAGAAAGTGAAAGACAGGTGCTTGTGCAGATACACTTTCACGCCCAAGTCACAGTCAAGCCACGCTAAGTCAGGGGCCATCTGGGTGGGAAATGATATTTCTTACTCATTTATTTTTCTTGTAGTACTGGGAATTAAACCCAGGACCTCCCACATGCAAATCACGTGCTCTGCTCCTGAGCTGTACCCCGGCCTAAGACACAGGATTCCTTACACACCCCCAAATCCGAGTTGGAAAGTGAAAGGCGTGTCTTGGGAGTCTCACTTCTCTTCTGCAGCATAACACTGCATGCTTTTTGGAGAACAAAAGCAGGAAGCCATGATCTGAAGTGAAATCCACCAAAGTTAAGCTCTTTTAAAAAACACCGTACTAGAGTTGGGCGTGGTGGTACACACGCCTCTGTAGGTAGGAGAATCAAGGTCCAAGGCCAGACTGAGGCAAAGTTAGTGCAAAACCCTATCTGAAAAACATACTAAAAAGCAAAAGAACTGGAAGCATGGCTCAAGTTGTAGAGTGCTTGCCTAACAAGTTCAAGGCCCTGAGTTCAATCCCTCTGCACCTCCCCCAAAAAGCACGGTACTCTAAAGAGCATCTTAAGATAGGACAATGATTCATGTAAAAACCTGGCTCAAACAGGAAAAGACTCCCGTTTTGGTGCTTGCAAGCATAAGCAGTATAATAATCTCCAAGCCATCGTCCTGCCAGTGGTGCCCCCGGGCTGTTCAAGGAAACAGATTCTACACCCCATCGTACAACTTTCAGCCACTTGTGCTTGCTGACACTTTCATTAACTAAAGTAAAATGGAGTTACAGGAAAAGTACCAAACTTAGGTGCTCAATAGCCATAGGTGGGCCAGGGGCTACCAGACTGGACAGGGCAGCTGTACAACAGTCCACCGGTGCCCTGCATCCCAAGGGACAAGCGGTGACTCAGAGATAGGACAATGATTCATGTAAAAACCTGGCTCAAACAGGAAAAGACTCCCGTTTTGGTGCTTGCAAGCATAAGCAGTATAATAATCTCCAAGCCATCGTCCTGCCAGTGGTGCCCCCAGGGCTGTTCAAGGAACAGATTCTACACCCATCGTACAACTTTCAGCCACTTGTGCTGCTGACACTTTCATTAACTAAAGTAAAATGGAGTTAAGGAAAAGTACACAAACTTAGGTGCTCATAGCCATAGGTGGCCAGGGGCTACCAGACTGGACAGGGCAGCTGTACAACAGTCCACCGGTGCCCTGCATCCCAAGGGACAAGCGGTGACTCAGACCCTATAGCCTAAGGACAGAAAACCAAGTCAGGGTAAAGACCCAGCTAAGAACAAAATAATTTAAGGAATAAAATAATTCAGCTAAGATGAAATCACTTGGAGAAGGTCACTGATTTTTTTCCAGGACAAATGAACAAGCATGACATTACTGACAAGTGGTTTGAGCCAAAAGTTGCATCAAGGTTCAGAAGGCAGAGCTGGGAGTGTGGCTCAAGTGGTAGAGCACTCATGTGGCATGCATCAGGCCCTGAGTTCAATCCCCAGTACCGTGAGAAAAAAGGAAGAAAAACAGGTTCAGAAAACAGCACCAGATGCCAGGGAAGATGCCCAGGGTCAGACTTCTGGCCCCTGACACCGGGCCAAGGCCCCCAGCCTGTCATTCCCAGAAATCCCACAGAGTGCAGCCCCAGCTCAGGGGTTCTCAGAGTTTTCCTTGGAAGAGACGAGGAGAGGTGGAGGAGAGAGCCAAGGCATTTACAGACCCCCTCGGGCTGGAGCGTGGCATGCACCTGTGCCTCTAGAAGTCAGCAGGGGAGGAAGGAAGTTAGGTTGTGGAGTTGAACAGGGAGCCCAAAGCCACCTCGCTCAACTTGTCACCACATCCTGCTGTTTCCACAATTGCTGTCAAACTGCCACTGGTCTGAGAATCCAGGCCAGGAAGAGATTTTATCAAAACTCAGCCAGCGAGACAATGCCAACACCTACAGGTGGCAGGCTGGAGCCCTCAAGAAGCACACAGGAGAAATTCCGATGGCCTCTCTGCTGGATACCAAGGACACTTTCCTCTAAGGACACCTTCCTTCTGGAGCAACTTCTGCATACCATTTCATCTGATATAAAATAGCTTGCTGGGACTGGCAACATGGCTCAGAGGCCAGCACTCACCTACCATGCTGGAGGGCCCAGCAGAGCACTAAATAAATAAACAACATGCCATGTGAGCTAAGGAACACTAAATCAGGTGTTCTTAGGCTCACACCGAGGGGTGGCATCTGTCCAGGTCTCACTCAGACCATGTACACACCCAGAAGAAGCCCCTTATCCTCTGGTCATCAGTGCCCCCGCCCTCAGCCTAGACTGGTCTTGGCCTTGGGGTGCAAAGGCTTCTGTTGTAGTGTCCCTTCCAGGCTACAGCTTATCAACTCATCCTCATCAAGCGAGGCTGTGCAGGTTCACCCCGGTGTCAACTTCCAGGTGACCCCACGGCTTCCGGTGTCAACTGTTTGCACCCAGGATTGTGGAATTCTCCAAAGAAACTTTAAAATGTATTTGCACTGCTGTGCAGATGGAAAACTTCCAGGACTCTTGCTAACACAAATGGATGAATTAAGCCAGAAAGAAAAAAGTTCCTTCCAGTCCCAATGGGGCGTCTGAATTTGTGTTTTCTAAGTAACTTCAAAAGTAGTTTCGGTCAGGCAACGGTGACTCACACCTGTAATCCTAGCTACTCAGGAGGCAGAGATCAGGAGGATCATGGTTCGAAGCCAGCCCCGGGCAATTAATTCCGCAAGCCCCTATCTCGAAAATACCTAACACAAAAAAGGGCTGGTGGAGTGGCTCAAGGTGTAGGTCCTGAGTTCAAATTCTAGTACCACAAAAAAAAATCATTTCAAAGCTGAGGATTAGCTATGTCTAGGCAGGTCCTCTGTCACTTGAGCCATGCTCCGAGTCCAAAATATATACTTTTAGATGTGTTACTTGCTAATAATATGTTCTTAAAAATAATACCAAGGTAAGTTCAATAAGTAAGTAGAATTACTCAATTGCATTTGAGTTTATGGGGCACAGCTTTATAATGGCGAATCCCACATGCTGGGGTGTATTCTTCCCTTCAATAAGCAATTGACAAAGACCTGACATGTTCCCTGCTCACCTGCCTGTCACCATCTGGTTTTTCTCTGGGAAAAGCAGAGACATTCAAGTTGGTGGACCAGGGCCCTTCTGCTTTCTGGGTTGGCCACCATTGGTGGGACACTGCCCTCTGGATGTGCTGGCCTCACTGCGGGGGGAGGGGGTCTCCTCCTTGTTCTGATTTCTAGCCACCAGGAGATCTGTGCCTCTAACAGCTGACACTTTGGTCAAGAATCAGCAGTTGTTTGTGGGGACTGTCTTGTGCAGTGTGAGATATTTAGCAAGAGCCTTGGCCCTTACCTGGAAAATGCCAGTAGCATCCCCTCCCCACTTACAACTCAAACTGTGCCTGAGGGTCACATTCACCCCTGTTCTCATCTAAACCCACCCAGCCACTACCAGCAGGCATCAGTGCAAGATGAGCACTTCCTTGGGCAGAGGGACACTGGATGGAGGGACAGAAACAGGTAGGGAAGGGAGGATGAGGAAAAAGGAGGGATGGTGAAGGGGCAGAACACTGGAGTGAAGAGAGCACAGCTACAGGAGAGAGGAGGGGAGAGCTGTTGTGCAGGCTGAGGAAGTTTGAGAGTGACTATGCCTGCTGAGAGCTGGGCAGGCTGGGAGAACAGAGGCTCCCCAAGTACTGATGTTTGTTTTGAGTACTGGTTCTGTGATGGAGGGTACGTGGAAATCCACTTCATCACTAATCTCTAACTGTACAAGTTGCATAGACATGGATGCCTATTTCACAAAACCCTAACTAACGATAAAAAGGTCCCTTGGTGCTGGGCTCCGGTGGATCACACCTGTGATCCCAGCTACTCAGGAGGCAGAGATCAGGAAGATCCAGGCTCAAAGCCAGCCTGGGAAAATAGTTCAAGAGACCCTATCTCGAAAACACCCATCACAAAAAGGCTCAAGACCCCAGTACTGTTTAAAAAAAGAAACAAAAAGCCTTTGGTATAGCCTCCACTGTCCTTTCCCACCTAGTCAGTGTCTAGCACAGAATCCAGCCTAAATTAAAAGCTGGGAGGGACAACGCAGAGAAACTAAAGCAGATACTTTAAAGCAACTGAGGCCAATAGGAGAAGGGGACCAGGAACTAGAGAAAAGGTGAGATCAAAAAGAATTAACCTAGAAGGTAACACCCACGCACAGGAAATTAATGTGAGTCAACTCCCTGTATAGCTATCCTTATCTCAACCAGCAAAAACCCTTGTTCCTTCCTATTATTGCTTATACTCTCTCTTCAACAGAATTAGAGATAAGGGCAAAATAGTTTCTGCCTGGTAGCAAGGGGTAAGGGCGGGTAAGGGAGGGAGTGGGGCAGAGGGGTGAAAGGGGGGAAGGAGTGAGAAATGACCCAAACAATGTATGCACATATGAATAAAATAAAAATATAAAAACAAATAAAAATAAAAGCCGGGAGGGAGTGGAGGGAGTCTGCAGAGACATGAGACCAAATGAAACGGCAAAGGAAGGAGAAGAGTAAGAAAGATTGAGACTGGAGTGACTTGCAAAGGACATTCAACCTTCAACCCCTCGCTGCTCTCTGGGACTGGTAGAAGATGTCATGGAATTTCTGTGTTAATCTCTTGCCATTCACTGAAGACAAAGTAACCTGGGGGAACTTACACTTGACCTGCTGTATCGCGGGTACTGTATACCAAAAGAAAAGCATTTATGCTCACCCTTAAGAGCTTGCCGTTACTCAAGAGGATACATCAGAAGCAAGAAATGACATGGAGAAGCCAGAGGTCTCTGTGCCCACAGCTGGCCTGACAAGCAGGAGGGAAAGGTGGCCCAGCTGTGGAGGAGCGGGATCAGTGGAAGAACTGGCAGAAGCAAGCGCTGCTAGAGAAGACAGACCCCAAAACTGAAGCCTGTTACAGGAAATAAATGGAAAATGGATCCTACTTGAGGTGCATACTGTCCCCGAAGAAGACTTGGGCTGCATGTGGATAGCAGGGGTCGAGGCGTGCGTTGGAACCCTCGGGGTGTACTGGGGCACCGGGGACGGGCAGTACTGAGCAGGATACTCTACATAGGGGTTGGGAGGCACAGCCTGCTGCGGGGGATAGAGGTGCTCCGGCTGGAATCCATGGTTTTCATAGCAAGGTCCAATATCCGATGGTGGCCCCTAAACAATTGAAAGGAAGATGAATAACTTAAAACTCTAACTTACTCTAAAGGGTTAAATATATAACTTAGTGTTACTGAAACAGTGCCCAAGTTGGGCTTCGTTGTCCTATAACCAGGTTATCTTACCCAGAACAAGCAGTTACCAATTCTGAACTAATCAGAATTCTCAACTGACAATCATTTTGTCGGTTTTGTGTTTTTTTGGTTTTTGTTTTTTATACTGTTTATTCTTTGAAATAAAGAAAACGCAACTGATACTGGGATTCGGTAGAAAAAAAATTGAACAGTCTGGGTATGGTGGTGCATGCCTGCAATCCCAGCTACTCCAGAGGTGGAGACAAGAGAATTGTGGCTCCATAACAGTCCAGGCACAAGACCCTAATCTCAAAAGCAAACTAAAATAACCAAAAAACTTGGGGTGCAGTTCTGTAGTAGAGCACTTGCTTAGCAAGTGCAAGGACCTGAGTTCAACCCCCAGTATCTGAAATAAAAATAATAATTAAAGAAACGATGTAGAAGTCTTGGACCAGAACCCACTCAGCCAATATCCTGTTCCTCCAACTCCTCTAAGACTCTCCTTGAGTGTGGAGGTGTGAAATGAACCAGAATTACACTGAAGTCAGTGACAGCTAACATTTGAGACCTCACCTGCTACCAGACCTGTGTATTCATGTCCCATTGGAAAGCTGACCATGATGCCCCAAGGCTGGCACAGGTACAATGAACGCACCCATTTTGCAGACAGGAAACAGCTGTGGGGCTCACCTTACATGCTACTCTGCAGATTCCTCTCCCCCATGTTCTTCTGGCACCAATAACTCACCCTCTCCTATGGAAGGGGCTATTAGATCTTATACAGCACATACGTCTTTGTGCAGAGGGTGTGGATATCTACAGTCGTCTCCCTTCCAGTGAAATTTCTGGGTCAAAGTATATACATATAAAAATGTGAAAGGAAGAGCCCCCGTCACAGGGCTTCATTCTCAGCCCCGCCCTCTGGCTGGGGTCTATCTTTTCCAAACAGCACCCTCCTGTCCCTTGTTCCACTTCAAGATGGCCTTCCCTAGGCCAGCACTCTCAAGACCCACCTCCAGCAGGCAGCTCTGGACCCCATAGTCTGAAGCTCCCCTTTTCCTACTCTTCACAATCACTCGACAGCTGGGCCTCTCCTCAGAGTACACGGTTGTCCTTATCTGGGTCCCCATGCAAAACTCACCCCTCCCTGCTTAATTTCTGTCCCTTGTCTCTCGTGGATTCAGAGAGGCTGCCCTCCCGGGACAGGTGTCCTCAGCAGAGGCCACCGAAGTGTGGTTGTTAAAGACAGAGCCAAACACAGACTCCCAGAGACCACCTGTGCTTAATAACTCACTCACTGTTCTTCAGAAGTCCAAAGATGATTACTCAAAGTCAGATCGTGGGAAAAGTGAGTTACAATCCCTGGTGTAATGGGGGCACTAGAGGCTCAGAAGTCAGCGTGACTGTCTGGTCTCTGTCCAAGCCATCTAAGAACACACTGCCCCATCTAGGAAACTTGACAAACCAAGCTGTTTGCCCTGGAAAATTCCTGCACAGTAAATTAATAACTAAAAAGAGATCCAGTAAAAAAGTAAATACCAGTAACTAATAAAGGGAAAACACTGGTATATTTTCCTGTAAGACTAGAAAACCAGGCACTGGCAGCTCACACCTGTAATCCTAGCTACTCAGGAGACAAAAATCAGAAGGATCACGGTTCAAAGCCAGTCTGGGCAAATAGTTCAGAAGACCCTGTCTCAAAAAACCTTTTACAAAAATATGTTGGTGGAGTGGCTCGAGGTATAGGCTCTGATTTCAAACCTCAATACAGCAAAGAAAAAAAAAAAGGAAAAGGAAAACTATTTTGACTAACTGTGAAGTCTTAACTAAATTTTTGCCTTTTTTGTCATGCATAAGAGGAACAGTGGGATTTGCTGGGATCAGAGGCAACTGCATTTGTTTCCTGATGAGGGTGGGCCTCATCCATTCAAAGGGTCCCCAGGTTACTTGGAAGCCCTTCTTCCCTGAGACACACCCTCTGCTCCATCCTGCCTCACCTGTCTGCACACCTGTGCCCACTTTCAAAACAGGAAGGGAGGTGGTCTGGACACAGATGCACACCACCCAACTTCTACTGAGCAGTGGCCTCCCACTGCCTCTGTGCAGCTCTAGTCTCTACCTGTCTTGTCCTCCTGACAACAACTTGAACAATGGCCACAGCTTCCTAGACAGTTCTTAAAAATGTTGACCAAGACTCCTTGCGGGCTAACAGGTGCTATGCGGACACGGAACAGAGAAAAGGCCAGGAAGGTAATAATTAACCACTTACTGAGTTTAAAACCATCCTGATTTTATCAATAGCATCAGGAAAAGGTGGGTGTCTTGCTCCTTCGAACCGACCTAGAAGAAAGAATCACAAGACTGTAACATTTCCATACTGGTCAGCTTTTAGAAGATCAGTCTAGAATGAACTGGAAGACTGAGTGAAAGTCACCTCTCACCAGAACAAACTGCTGTTCTGCCCTCTGCCCTTGAACCGTCCCCTCACCCACCTCTTCCCATGTCTCTTCATTTCTAGTGAGTTTGTGCCATGCAACCAGCATCCCCCCTGGGAAGCAGACTTGCCTGTGTGGGTGGGGGCTGGAGTGCAAGTTTAACTACCATGACCGGGAGAACCTGACCCTGAAGAAGAACCGGCAGGCTAAAGGACCCAAAAACATCAAAAAATAGGCGCCCAGGGAAATGCCCACGGCAGAGCCCAAGTATCCAAGTGTAATAATAGTCACTTCAGAGGCTCTCAGCAGGGGACTGCGACTTTTCCCTTGAGTTCCATCTACCAGAAGGAGAACTTGTAGGATTAAAAACACACAAGAACCATCATCAGGAAATTTCTAAACCCATCAATTTTAGCAGAGGTTAAATGGGGACCTGGAAGGCAATGGCAGTGCCACTTCCTGGAGGCATCATCAGGCAACTAACTGAACCTGGCTGAAAAATCAGATATGGCAATGGACACTGTTCAGCTAGGGGCTCGGTGACAGTGTGCGAAGGGGCTCTTTCCAGTGCTAGGTAGTGTGGAACACATGGAGCCATTGGAGGAGCCCATTGCAATGCCCACAGGTGGGTGCATACAGCCACCTGCCATGGAGCAGGTGGCTAGAACTTAACAGCAGAGACAGCTCACTTTTGACTTTTTAAAATAAGCCTATGAGTCCTCCCAAGTTTTAATAAATACATGTCTTTAAAATTCCATAAGAGAAATCCACACCCACTCCATTTACTACCCCAAATACAAAAATGAAAGAAATTCAGAGCTAACTTTTTTGACCAATTCTAAGATTAGTGGTTATGAAGAGAGAGCTATGGGTCATTTTGTTTGAGGCCGTGTGCAAACAGTTATCAATAACTGTAGAGGTACACAGGTGCTTTAGAGTAAAGGCCTCACTCCTGCCATCATTCTTCACCGACAGATTCTTTGCTTGACCAAATTTAGCAGGCGTCTGAACCTCTGTGCACTTCCTCATAAAATCCAACTGCAGCAAAGAGCCCCCACCCTGGATAGCTGATCACTCTCCAGACTTGAGCGGGCTCCTCAGCCTCCACAATCCCCAGGGGACATCAGATCACGCTGGCTGGCCTTCAGTGAGAACCCTGTCAGGTCACTTCAGTAAGAACCCCGCTACCCCAGGTCTCCTCTTGGTGACTTCCATCCACTAACCAGCACTGCTCCTGAGCTGTAAATCCTACTTTCCCATTGGTATCAGGAGTCCAGGCCAATCTCTGTCCCCACTGCAAAGCCCACTGCCTGGTTTCTGTACCTATCAAGATGGTCCTGAATCAAGTCTGTGTCATCTTGCTTTAACAAGGGTCATTAAATCATTTTTAGTTTCTTCTTTCTTTCTTTCTTTTTGTGGCACTGGGGTTTGAACTCAGGGCCTTGAGCTTGCTAGGCAGGCATTCTTCCACTTGAGCCACTCCACCAGCCCTGTTTTTGTGTTGGGTTTTTTTGAGATAGAGTCTCTCAAACTATTTGCCCAGGCTGTCTTTGAACCTTGGTCCTCCTGATCTCTGCCTCCTGAGTAGTTGGGACTACAGGTGTGAGCAACTGGTGCCCAGCTTCATTTTTTGTTTAGAAACCCCTCAATGAGAGCTTCTCTCCACTCCTCCCAGCTGGGCTTGAAATGGCCAAAGAATATCCTAAGAAATGGTCTTTGGGGTTAACCATCCACAAGACAATGTCACCAATGAGGGCCCAGGAACCTGGAGAAGACTTTGCAGCTGGTCACATCAGGATCTGAATCCTTTTCACCTATAAGAACCTTGCACATGACAGGTTCCCAAACAGTGACAGGCAGCACAGCACAGCACAGCAGACAGTCTATGACCGTGGGGACTAGACTCTCTGGATCCCAACCTAGGCTCAACCCCTTACTAGCTGTGACCTGAGCTTGTTAGCTCATAGTCCTGTGCCCTGGTTCCTCCACTGGGAGTGGCAGATAAGAGCAGCACCTACTACAGGTGGCCAGGGACACTGAGTAGGCTAATGACAACAGAGTTCTGGAGCCTGGCATAGAGTAAGTGCTGCGTGAGTGTTTGTTAAATTAGAGCCATTCTAAAGCTGAGAAATAGCTAGCAGCCTGCTGAGGGGAAAGGGGGCTGTTCTGTGGCATTTCCAGATTTGCATCTGGTAAGTGCTCCTGATCACCGGAAAGCCCACAGACTCTCAAAGACAAATACAATAGACAGCACAGCTCTTCCATCTCCCAAGCCAAGAGACTATCTGAATCATTAAACAAAAACCCCAAACCAACAATCTGTGATGAATAAAAAGCTGAGTATGGGTTTGAACAGTCACAGTAAGAACGTACCAAAGGCTGATTTACTTCTCGCATGCAGAGGAAACAGAAGAACCAAGTCATGTTGAGAGCTTCAAGACATCTTTTTAAGATTAAAGATAAAAGTCACAGCTTCCTAGGCATGAGGAAAGAAAACGGACTAATGTCCAGGTGGGAGGGCTCGCCATTTAAAATATATGTAAGATGTGCGCCTGTTAGATTGATGTGATTGTCACATGCTAAACGCGCCTTTTCTCTGTCTACCTAGTGAAGACAGGACACTAAGACTGGACATCCACAGGGCAAATCCATCTGCCCGTCTAATAAAGCAGGAGCCAGCCCCATGCCCTCCTCGGGTTACTTTCCAAAGAACCCTGCCGGACACACAACTCACTCCTCTGGGTTCTTCCCTCTCCATAGCTACGCCAGCCTCTCGGCTATCTCACCAGTTACAGGTTTGGTTGAAGTTTCAGGAAATGAAAATTCGATCCACTGGCGGGTTTCCCAGTTTAGGAGCCCTCTGAAAGGCACGATGACTCAATGCTCCGAATCCACGCTGGATATTCAATCAAGATCCCTAACAGTGAGACAGGGAAGGAAGCCAGGAAAGGAAGGAGCACTGGGAGCCACAAGGGGAATTGTCAGATGAAAGCCACAGAACCCAGAAGCAGCCATGGGAGAATCCTATCTCGACCCACGATCCCAGGACCCAAAAACACTGGAGGCAGAAATATGAAGTACGCCCAGCTCAGCTACCGTGGACTTTGGAAGAGAAGACAAATGTGCAGCTGGCAACTTCCTATGGCCGAAAAGAAAGGAAGGGGGATGGGAGCCCTGCTCTGGAATGGATCTGCACAGGGAGCATCGAAAACACCCAGGAAATCCCATGCAGTTGGCGAAGCTTTAAAACTGCATTTCCGTGGTTACAGGAGACTGTAAATCACAGGAACCAGTTTCTGAAAGGAGCAAGATACAACCTAGGTGACAAGAGACAACACTGTTTAGTGATCATCCCTGTCATTTAAAGGACAGAGATGGTCTGTCTGGCTTCTGGAAAGCCATAAGGAAGCACTTTAGGAAATATTCCTCTAAGTGGAAAGAGTGATTAAAGATGAGGCTCCTCTCCTCACTGGTGCCTCATTCACTCAGTCTCACAACAGCACAGCTGCCTCAGGCTGTTCCAGTCCATTCTGGGCTGTCCTTTCAGAATGTCCAGGCAGCCTGTGAGTCACCTGCCTGGCCACCATGTTCCAGGATGATACTGTGGACCCAAACTGCAGTCCATGACATGATAGAGTTGTTTCCAAAATAAGGATAACTTCCTTTTGCGGCTTCGTTCTCCAGGGACCTCAGAA